TCTTTTCTTTTTTTTTTTTTCAACTCAAATTTTTTGATCTTGGCAGTTTAATCATTCATTAAAATAAACATATAAAAAAGTATTTTTTTTTTTTTGTTTCCATTATTATAATTATAGAAAATTTTTTCTTTTTTTTTTTTGTTCTTCTGCCGCTGTTTTTTAGTATTGGTATTATTGTTGCTACTGTCAATGTTGTCAATTCTTTTTTTTTTTTTTCATTCACTTCATTTCAATTTCTCATTTGACAGAACTCTTTTGTTAAATAATTTTTTTGATTAGTTTACAGTTTGTCATAGAGAAAAGCATTAAAAAAATTTTTGTACAAAAAAAAAAGAAGTTTTCTTTGTAGAAAAAACTTTAATTGTCGTTGTTGTTGCTAAAAAAAAAAGTGATTACACAAAAGAATTTTTTTTACTCAGCAATTAATGTCCATCTTTTTTTTTTTTCCTCAATGCTAAATTCTAAAATAATAACAACAATAATCTTAATTAAAAGCACCAGTAAATTGAAAGGCATCGTTAATACTTCCATACGAAAAAAAAAATCCCGATACTAAATTGCTGATTGAAAACTAACAGTATTGCTGCTGCGATTAAGAAGAATACTTTGTAAACTAACAGCATTCCATTCCGTTGTTATTGTAATAATAATCAAATGAATAATATATACATTTATATTTATATATGTAAATTTAAATTGTTCTAACTGAAAAGAACAGTGTTCACCAAAATCTGTTAAATGAAAACAGACGATAAATGAGCATCAAAACCGCATAAGTAAAATGAAATCTATTGCTCAAAAATGTCTGTTGCTTTCACCAATAATACTGCTGCTTTAGAAGTTGATAAATTCCTTTTTAAAAAGGACATTATACGGCAAAAACAATGCTTTCTGTCAAATGTTTCTAACAAATATCATCTAACACTTTTTTATCATTCATCTTTTCATAATGTACAAACTATAAGCGTACAGTAAAGCTTAACAAATCAGATGTCTTGTTTTATCTATCTGAGGCAAAATTTCTCATCGTCGTCAACCTCGTCAACATCTGTCTGTGGGACCACTAGAAGCTACAGTCAGTAAAAAGAAAATTCAAACAGTAATTGAAACTGTCTGACAAATTAAACAAAAAAATTAAAGTAGAAGGGTAAATGTATGAAAAAAAGATAAAATATATAAAATTTTTTGAAAACTTTTTTTCTTCAACAAACTTATCAGCATAAACTGCCTCCCCCTCCTTCCACCAAAAAGAAAAAAAAAAAACGAAGTACAATAAACTGTGTTAATCCAATTCATTTTTTGTTCTACTAATTCGATTGCCTTATGTTAAAGATAGCA